AGAGGGAGAAGCAGGCTCCCCGCTGAGCAGGGAGCCCGATGCGGGGCTCGATCCCAGGACCCTGGGATCATGACCTGAGCCGAAGGCAGACGCTCATTTCACCTTTTTGATAGAGTCACATACACATTTTAAAGTCAGCTCTTCAAGTGGTTCTGAAGCCCGACAAACACTGACAACCAACTGCATCCAGTTAGTCACTCATGGCATCAGATGCCGCTTGCGATCTCAATTTCAAATTGCCATTCACCACGCAGGTGTGCTGCTTAAGTTTTTAAAATGTGTAACCATTCGCCTACTGCAATCTATCTTGAGCCCAAACTCAAGTGTCATAAGACTCTTGTTCATCCATGTCTGGAACTACACCTTGGACTCACTATATTCCACGTCCCAGTGACTAGGACCAGCTAACTTCATCCAAAGGGGACATGAACTGCTCTTGAAATGTGCCTTCTGCTTTCCTTGTGCTTTATTCTTGTTGGTACTGTTCACTCTTTTCATGAATTTCCTCTCTATATTCTTTACAATTCCACTGTTGCCTGTAAAAATCCCATCTATTTCAGGCCAAAGGCAAGCCTAAATGTGAAATAGAGGCTTAACCAGAATATCGATTAGGGAAGTAAGGGTTCATTAGTTCCAAGCTCCATACATCGTATTGCCTTCCTATAGTATCTAAGAGCACTATTTACACTACATCAACCAGAAAGTAGACGAAGGCTCCAAAAATGCTATTTGCTATGAGAATGGTACTGGGGCTCTGCTCTCGGGGAGGATGGAGAGCAAAATGGTCATGAATTTTGACTGCCCAGTATCCTCACAACATTGGATTAGCAACTTAACATCCACTATCTCATTTAATCCTCAAAAGCATGGTCAAGGTTAGGGAGTCCTGTCGCTTTTTTTTTTAAGATTTTATTTGTTTATTTGACAGCGAGAGAGCATGAGCAGAGGGGAGGGGTAGAGGGAGAAGCAGACTCCCCGCTGAGCAGGGACCCAGGACCCTGGGACTTGATCCCAGGACCCAGGATCATGACCTGAGCCGAAGGCAGACGCTTAACGACTGAGCCACCCAGGTGCCCCTCATTTGTTAACTTTTTAAAGTAATATTGTTACATGCTCAGCTAATGCTGGTGAAAAAGATGAAAAGGCACAGGTGTTTTTTTTTTTTTAAAGATTTTATTTATTTATTTGACAGAGAGAGACACAGCGAGAGAGGGAGCACAAGCAGGGGGAGTGGGAGGGAGAAGCAGGCTTCCCGCCGAGCAGGGAGCCCGA